AGTTGTGACAGACCATATGCCAAAGCAGTCATAAACAGATCTACCCGCATGATCGGTTAAACGAGAACCAAGCAATTCAGCGTGGTGGGCGTTAAACAACTATCACGATCTCTGCAGATGGGATCTGCTGTAGCACGAAGTCTGTAGCCATCTGGACGTGGTCGATGAGTCGGTCTGTTTCGGCATTAGCGCCATGGGACCTATAGAGGCACCCGCAGCCGATCCGTAGATGGTCGTCGCTGTCTATGCGCAGCCATAAGATGGTCCGTAACTTCAAGGCTGATGAGGCGTCGGAAACAGATGTCCTCTCTGACATACACGCAAACTCCAGCCCGGGACACAAAAGTTTGTTCTAATTTGTACCTCGGGTAGGAGAGATACGAAGCATCAGCTGGAGAGGACACCCGTGTCTCGGTTTGAAGGCTGGATTCGCCGTTTTCAGACGTTAGTGGACGGCTTTAAGGTTTGAATTAAGTCCCCTGATGTTGCAGAAACTAACGGATAGCGTGGCAGTAGGCGTCTTTGACTTATTGCTTCGTTTTCCCCGAGCAGGTTTAGTCTTGAGCGGAATTATGCACCCCCCCCCCTCCAGAATACGCGGGGCAGCCTGAGCACCCACGCTCAGGAGTGGAGTAGCTTGGTCGTGGATGCTCAGCGAGGGATTCTCCAGGGGTGTTGGTACCCTCCTGGGGTAGTCTTGCATTTAATTCCGCTACCATGTTGATGGGGGGGGGGGGGGCATTGGGCCTCCGTCCACCTGCACACACCAGACGAAACGCAAAAGAAAAGCCTCTACTTCACACTGGTCTTCTGTGAGGTCGTGATACCACCCCGATTTGAGCCGGCCCATGTGTGTAACAGCAAAGGCTGCCGCGTGGCTCTACCACTTTAAAAAAATATAATAATGATATTCCAAAGACTAAATACTAATTCAACTAGTTATCTAATAATAATATAATGGTAATATATATCTGATGGCAATAAAAGGGTAAATTAAGGCTAAATTATCGGTTATAAAAAAAATCTTTGATTTACGTCAAACTGTGAGTATTAGGCAATACTTATCCTTTTCTAATAACACTTTAGTATTCTGAAAAACGAGAAGGAATTTCACGTAAGAAGAGGGAGGGGGAAGGGGTTTCCAGAAATCTTACACATTCTTACATAGGGTTAGGGGAGTCAAAATCGCCAAAATCATCCTTAAGTAATTAATGAATAGCCCTTACTCTCGTAGTCTGATGGGACGGTAAACCGACACAACTGGAGGGCAGGGGCAGAACCAACGGCTTTACGTGCTTTCCCAGGCATTGGGGAGAGACACTGCCAACTTTCTAACTCAGTGCAGCTACTGAGAATTTCTTGATGGAAAAACACAATAACTGATATTTTTTGGCTTGACCGGGGATTCAAACCCGGGACCTCATAACCTGTAATCGAACTGCTACAACCACTAGATCAATGAGGCGGCAGTCAATTTGATTTAAACGTTTTTGTTAACACATATCAAATATAGTTAGTGGTTAACTCTTATTAGCCGTATTTTCTATTATAATATACTCTTGTTATCCTAAAACTGGGTGCCCAATACCAGGAATTTCATCCAATTTAGTGTTTTGTACTTCGTGCGCTCGAACTATATATATCAGTATCTATAAACATTTGGTTATGCATGGCATAATGGGCAATAAGCTTTGAGTATTAAACCAAAGGAGACGGCGTCGCAAGACATACCCCTCTGTAAAAGGTACGAGAGTCCGACTCATAGCTGTTATATAAAACTAGTTGCTCCGTGTCGTGCATATTGCAAGTGATTGTGCCATTCAATTTAGCTCCAACAAAAATTCCGAATTGCAGTGTATTTTCATGCGAAAATAATCAAAACCGTTAAGTCTACAAAAGGACAACGTGACTTCATCTGTGAATACTTTTAATGTAATATTAATTGATAGAATCAGGCGTTACTTTGCGGAAATCCATTATAATAAAAAATAAAAATATAAATTTCTTTGCAACTTTCCGCTAAACATATAAAATGATGTGTCTTACCTGGATTGAAGCGCACCTCCCGCCCTCCCTCAATTGCATACACTAACTCCGTCACCACTAGACCAAGCACCACTAGATGGCGACTTTTTTATAAAGTAATTTATTTCAAATAAGTCATTTTTCTTATGCCCAAATTTGTAATCTACCGTTGGTAACACTGTATATATAATATAATTTCACGGGAATTCGCGAACATCAACTATGTAACAATTCAATGTCGTTCATTCACTTACATCTGTTTCTACATACAAAAATGCACCAGGAGTAAACATATTTGAAGATTTATGTAATTTGGCAATGATAATATTATCACTACCGCACTCAAATGCAGAATTTGAACGCGTATTTGGTGCTATGAATATAGTTAAAAAAGCAAACTGCGAAACAAGCTATCGGAACAAAGTTTGAATTTCTTCTAATAAGAAATCAGTTAACGATTAAAAAAAAGAATTGCGCAACGTATGATATTCCTAAAGATGTTGTCAACCAAGTCGGTAAGGTGGTTTGCCCTTAAGATGGGAACTGGAGACATTGGCGAAGGTTCAACTTCCGCTGAAGTTCTTTTTGAAGATCTAGATCCATACTTTGCTATTAATTTTGAAATTTAGATACAAGAACGTACTGAGCTAATTGTTTTATTTTTAGTAAGATGGCTAATGTTTAAACGTAGTTTAAAGATTAAAGATTTATTATTTACAATATTTTTTATTTTATCCATGAATAATTTTTGTTTTGGTGTTCATGTCGTTAACCTACACTATAAATAACTGATTTATATGAAATAGAGTTAGCGCGAGATCCGTGTGGAGTCGGTTTTTTTTTACAAAATATCAAAGGATTGTTGGCAGAGTTTGGTCGCCGCGTCTACACGTTGGGCGCACGTTTAGTTTGCTACAAGCTCCCAAAGCGATTAAACGCATCTGATTTAAATTTTATATTCAAGCTTTGTTAGGTGGATGCTCCAATTACCAGCCTTTTAGTGCCAATTTCAACTTTAAACATTCCTACTACTTTAATTAGCGAGATTTAATTATTTTTAAACATTTGTTTTAATCGAGAAGCTATTTATCAAAAAATGAACGTTTATTTACAATCCGATTATTACGAGAACTCTTTTTAATGTTTTTCTGAATTTATACATTTAGATTTTCGGTATTAATTGTATATATACCGTTTGGCAATATTTTTCAGTTAGCCCAATGGTAGCACGAAAATGTACCTAGGGACATCTAGCGAATTTTAAGAAGAAAAAAATCCTGTTTCTGGCGGATTTTTTCTGTTAGTCTAGGGACTTTAAAATTTGTAGAACGGCAACCCTGTAGTCCGCCGCGCTGCCCCAATCAGAGATGGGCTGAGTGATGATTTTTCTGTATCAATGAATGCATGACAATGACAAAAAAATATCAGTGACGGGAACAATGCCAAATCATCAATGATTTTTATCTGAGTTTTTCTATATATTTATTATTTTCTATATCTATATTTTATTAGATCTCGTCACTTCAATTGTGACTAGTTACTGAAATGATCGCGGAACGGCTTAGTTATCATTAGTTATTTATGGTCGCGTAAATACGCACCTCCAATCTTACCTTCATGCTTTTTCCAGGCTTAGGACTGCAAAAGACAGGCAAAGTAGTAGTACTTAGTAGGTACTTACCTAATAAAAAAATCATTCTGCTTTTCTTTGATGCATTTAAAAGATTGGTATATTTACAATGATCAATTATCAATAATATTTGTTATTTAATTTTTTTTTGTTATTTGTATTTTTGTTGTTTTTTTTTCTGTAGAAATATTTACATTTTCTTGCCCGTTGTACCGAATTATTGGCTACAATGGACGTTTAAAAACATTAGTTGTTTAACTTTTGCAATTCCTAGACGAGTGCGTCTTTCAGTTACCATGGTACCAGCTCGTGAAAATACTCTTTCACATGGCACTGATGTTTCTATCAGACAGCATTTATTCAGAACTAATTTTGCCTTTAACGCTAAATGTGTAAACTTGGTTTTAAAATCAATGATATAGGTAACTTCACTAAACTAAATTCACTATAACGTATCAAAAAGCCAATTATAGCGAGAATACATTACACAACGTATTTCGTACGTGTGGTTGGTCGTCTTCGTCTAACCAAAACAATGATTCACGCGATAATAAATTACTAAATGCTAGATAAAATAGCATTCGTAATTTGCCGTGCATTTCGCGCGTAAACGTAAACAACGCAAGTAAAAGCATTGTTTGTTGCCGTTCCGTGCAGTGTGCTGTGCACCCCCGCGCCGGTCATTTTATCGAAACTTGTAAGTTCTGTGACTTCAGCCAGTACCTATCGCCGATCGAGAAGTCTCGCAACGTCGCACGTCACACCGCAGCGCCCGGGGCGGCCCGAGACCACCCGATCCGAATCACCGAAGGTTGCGTTGATTCAAGAAATGATTTAAAAGCATTGATGATTTTGTCGTTGTCATTTCATGATGACATGATTTTAAAATATCGATGATTTTTACCTGTGACATGATATCGGACTCATCTCTAGCCCCCAATGCGTGTTGGCGAACTTCACATGTCTTCGAATATTATTTATTTAATATATAATATTTTTTAATTTATTTCTCAGACATGCAGGTTTCTTCACGATGTTTTCCTTCACCGCCGAGCAGGCTCATAGTATATATTAGTAATCCATAGATTACTGACTATGTACTAGGGACTGTAGTAATCTATGAACAGAACAACACGAAACAACCACAACAACAATGGAGTAATAGTGTTTGTGACAACAATAATCAAGTTCTATACGAAGATACGAAGTAATATGTCTGAATCAAGCAAGTAATCAATAACTTATTAAGTAAATATAACGTAATTTAGAAGAACGTTTAGAAAGAAGTACCTATACTATAGTAATTGTGTATGAATAACGCTTCAAAAACGGAAATTTATTCACAATGAATGAAGAAAAGAAAAACTTAAAACTAAATCGCTGTGTGGATTGGTTACAAAAACAAAATGAACAAGAACCGAAGAAGTTGTCTTTACAAAATAAAAACGATATTCAATTTATTATCCAAACCAACACCGACAGGAAGAACTTTCTTCTTGCGGCAGCTGAAGACGAAGCAACGGTGCCGCCTGGAGTTGATGAGACAGAAATGGAACCAAAACCTGTGGTAACTAAAATTTATTGCTAAAAATTCCAAATTAGTATGTTAATAATCTATTTTAATCAAATTATTGTTTCTATTTAATTATTAATCGTAGTTGTAGTGGATCTTAACTAGTCAAAAGGCACCTGAAAACCTTTGAGTAGGTAATGAATTTCATTACCTACTCAAAGGTTTTCAGGTGCCTTGAATGAATTTTATGAGTTCAGGAATATAGAATGGTTAGTGGGAAAACTCAATGCTCCCATACTTTACTTTAAAGTAGCACTTTTAACTTCGCTTTTATTTTCGGACCGTATCACATTGTCATGTTTGATGTCGTAAATTAAAAAAGTGACTTTCAATAAGTGTTATTTATAATCTAAATTGAAGAAAAAAGTTTCTGTTTCTAAAATGCAGTTGCATTCCTGAGGACAAAGATGAAATGCCTCATTTCCAGTAAAGAAGCGTTTCAGATATGATATTTTTTGTGGAATGGAGTGTAACAGATACGGGATCATAATGGCATGCATATAACATGATTGTGTATAATTTTGTGTCCAAGTTTAGGGATCATGATAAGTCTGTGTCATGTGTTGAAAGAGGCCTCATGCTCAGACCACAGATGGATCTGCTGCATACTACAGGTCGATATCCCCGCTATACAACCACGGAGAAATCCCCGCAAGACAGATAAAACAAAATACCTCAATAGGCTGACGTCTTCGCTCGCGGGTGTTGGAGGAACTAATACCATAGCAGATCAATCGCTCCTAGAAGAACAAGTAGCAGCTGTTACTAGTCATGATCGATAGCTACCATGAATCATGTCCAGTAATCACTCCACCAAAACATGTTGAGCAAAAGCAATCGTGATGGGGTAAAGAACTAGACAGGAAACGTAAGAAGGTAAGAAAAGCCCTAAATAGGGCAATGAATACTTCAATGGATGAAGACTGGCTACTATATAAGAAAGCTAAATCTGAAAAAAAAATGTATCAGGTATCGACGCTCAACAAGGTGGCGCAAATTCTGTGGTAGTATAGAAACCTGTGAACAAGCATATCAGATAAGGAAAATCATAGCTAAACAGAACACACCGGGATCCATATCTTTAAAGAAACCCGATGGAAGCTACTCAACATCGCCGGATGAAACCCAATGCATTCTAATTGATACTCACTTCCCAGGTTACTGTGTAGTTGAAAGAGTGAACTGGTATGTAGATGTACTGACACCAACAAAAGATGATTGGGATTTAGCACAAAGAGTGGTGACGATGGACAAAAGCCATTGGGCCATTCATAGTTTCCTCCCCTATAAGGCGACAGGACCTGACGGCATATTCCCGGCACTTCTACTGTGGGGGGGTAAAGCCCTAATAGTCAGACTTGTTTGAGAGCATGTCTGGCTCTTAAATAAGTTTCTAGGGGATGGAGGGAAGTGAAAGTCACATTCATACCCAAACCAAGTAAGTACGACTATACAGACCCTAAATCCTACAGACCCTTTAGCCTCACATCCTTTCTCCTAAAGAGGATGGAGAGGATGTGTGAACGGGTGTTAAGAGGGTCGGGGCTAATTAACTTACCGCTACACGAAAAACAATACGCTTATAGCTTAGGTAAATCAACAGAATTGGTACTTCACCATGTAATAACAAAGATTGAAGAGGCCATCCAAAACAAGGTAATATGTCTAGGCTTCTACATAGACATAGAAGGTGCTTTTGACAAAACAAACTTCTCTAGCATAAAAGGTGCACTAAGTAGACATAATGTTGAACTTGCACTGATTGACTGGATAGTAAATATGCTCAGTACACAAACAATAAAGATTGCTGGTGAATCTCAGATGATTCAGATCATGAAAGGATGCCCGCAGGGTGGGGTTCTTTCACCTCTCCTGTGGAATATGGTCATTAATGAACTCGTCAGCAAATTAAACGCTAATCATTTCTACACAGTCGGTTATGCAGATGATCTGACAATACAGGTCTCTGGAAAGACAGCAAGCATTGTGTGCAACCTGACCCAAGCGGCTCTCCGTATTGTAGAGAGATGGTGCAAGGAATATGACCTAACCGTTAATCCAAACAAAACGGTTCTAGTAATGTTCACACAAAAACTAATACTGAATAACTATCATCCCCCAAGTCTTCAGCACAAAACTCCAGCTGTCCTCCGAGGTAAAATACTTAGGTCTTACCTTGGACAGTAAACTTACCTGGAATAAACAAATACATAACGAAATCAACAAAGCTAGTTTAACTTTCTGGCAAACGATGTGGTCTGACACCAAAAATTATACTGTGGCTGTACAAAACTGTAATTCGACCCATGATCACATACGGCTCTGGTATGGTGGACCAAAACTAACGAAGCCACCACTATACGAAAGCTTCAGCATTACCAGAGATTGGCTTGTATGGCTTTCACGGACTGCATAAGAACTACACCAACAGCAGCTTTAGAGGCTATACTGGGGCTAACACCGCTTCATCTACATATACAACAAGACATCTTTTAAGTAAGATTAGAGTCCCCCATACAGGTATAATTGATAGAATTTCCTCAAAAATTCCTATCGAATTTGTATTCGATAAGAAGTACAGGATACAATTGAAGGAAACTGACCAGCTAGAAGGATTGGGACCAAAAGAGCTCAGAGTTTTCACGAATGGTTCTAAGACAAATAAAGGTGTGGGGTCTGGTGCTTTCTCTGAAGACTTTAATATCTATATATGCACACTGCTGGGTACCCATAACACAGTCTTCCAGGCTTAATGCATGGGTATCATCCAAGCGGCCATAGCAAAAGATGCTAGAAAGGTGAAAGACTTCTACATCAGAATACTGACTGGTAGTATGGCAGTACTACAAGCTGTGAGTTGTAATGTGGCTACCTCGGGACTGATATATGAGTGCCATCAACAATTGAATGAGGTATGTAAGCACAACAATGTGACTGCAATGGATCAAAGGATACAGTGGATCTAGAGGCAACGATACGGCAGATGAACTAGCCAGAAGGGGATCGGCTCTGGCAACTATAGGACCGGAACCTATAATACCAAACCCCTTTGGCTATGTTCGTTCACGGGTATGTAGATACTTCAATAATTTACACACTCAGCTTTGGAAATATTTAGTAGACTGTAGACAAGCTAGGGAGGCCCTGCCTGAAATAAACAGTCGTCTACCCAAGGTCCTAATGAGACTGAACAAGCCACAGATCAGGATAGTAACAAGTGCTGTCACAGGACATGGCTCTTTTAACAAACATTTGTTTACCTTAGGTGTTACTGATAGCCCCCTGTGCAGAGCATGCATATGCGACAGGAAGAAATGTCGGTTCATACAGGGCTTAACATCTCGGCACGCGTAATTCGCTCCCCGAACTTGCTTGCAACATCAAAGGACTGTTGAACTTCTTCACACGCAAAATACGCGCTTAGCTCCACGTGAGTTGTGGAAAACAGCCCGTCGTAAACTAAACTAAGTCTGTGCCACGCAATGGAGACATGATACACTGGAATTTTTTTAAATTAAAGTAAGGGTGACAAATAAGCCCACAGTCCATCTGATGGTAAGTAAATACAGCAGCCTATAGACATCTGTATTTTTTATCTATATAGAAATGATACTACAGAGCAGCATTACTACATAAAAACAATTGGTTTTTGAACTAAAACAAATCATATTGTCAGGCTGATGATAAAGGGGCCTAAATTTATTATAAAGAAGCATTTATGTGTATATTCTGTATTTTCATTTTCAGCCTCTTCGACGACTTCGTGTAGAGAATTTGTGTTTAGAATGCGAATGGCATTCATGCCGCTGGAAATTTTCGGACTATGACCTATTCCAGAAACATGTTGCTGATCATATTTCTGACCTCCATGTTATCAAAAAAGAAAAAATTGGTAAGTTCAAGTATTTTGGTAATTAGGAATGTTATTTTATGGTAATTATAAAGAAATTCTGACTCAAGTCTGCTTGCACCGATTAGTAACGTCCATGTGAACAAATTGTGATTGTTAGATTTTTTTTATAAAACTGAAGTCACAAACAAACTTACAGTCAACATGATGGTAAGTGGCTACAGCAGTCCATGAGCACTTGCAGCCAACTTCAAACGATGCGTTGTCATCTCTGAGGACTAAGATAAAATGCTTCACATCTTTTTATTATACTGAATCTATAGTCATCAGACCAGTGGCGAGCCCTCTATAGAAGCCGAAAAGCCGGGATTACCCTTTCAAACTGCTGAGTCAATAATAACAACTAATGAAATAACTGGTAAACTGTTTTCAACTATTTCAAATTTCCCGTGCGCTCCTCTGTTATACACGGGTCATGACCTCGTAGCCTTATTATGTAACGTAAACACTTGGCAGTTTTCTTTCAATTCGAAATACATTGATTCGTGTTCTCTCTGTCTCAGAGCGAATACATAATGGACTAAATATTAATAGTTACTTTGCAACCATCCGCTAAATTAAATAAAATGATGTGTCTTCCCTAGTTTGGAGCACCTCCCGCCCTCCTTCAATTGCGTGCACTAATCCCGCCACCACCAATCCCGTCACCACCAATTCCAGCACCACTACTTCCAACATAACTATTCTAGGAAAGACCACCATCATTTTGACAGTGGTAGAGCCACGCGGCAGCTTTGCTGTTGCACAGATGGGCCGGCTCAAACGGAGGTGATACCATGACCTCACAGAATACCGGCGTGAAGTGGAAGCTCTGCTCCCGCATTTCGTCTGGTGATTGCAGGTGGCTGGAGGCCCAATTACCTCCCCCCATCAACATGGTAGCGGAATTAAATGTTAGACTACCCCAGGAGGGTACCAGCACCCCTGGAGAATCCCTTGCTGAGCGTCCACCACCAAGTTATTCCACTCCTGAGCGTGGGTGCTCAGACTGCCCCGCGTATTCTGGGGGGGGGGCAAAATTCCGCTTAAGACTACAACTGCTCGGGGCACACGGAGCAACAAGACCAAGGCGACCCCTGCCACGCTATCCGTGAATTTCTGCAATATCAGGGGACTTCACTCTAACCTAGACGCCGTCCACTACCATCTCGAGATGGCGAGGCCGGCTCTGCTCTTTCTGACCGAGACCCAGGTGTCCTCTCCGGCTGATGTCTCGTATCTCTCCTGCCCTGGGTACAAACTGGAACACTCTTTTGTGCCTCGAGCTGGAGCTTGCGTTTACGTCAGAGAGGACATCTGTTTTCGACGCCTCGGCAGTTTTGAAGGTTCGGACCTGTCCATCATTTGGCTACGCGTAGACAGCGACGACCATCCGCGCGTCTACGGGTGTCTCATAGCGGTAATGCCGAAGCAGATCGACTCTTCGACCACGTCCAAATGGCTACAGATTCGTTGCTACACCAGATCCCCTCCGCAGAGATCGTGATCCTCGGCGATTTTAACGCCTATCACGCCTATCACGCTGAATGGCTTTGTTTACGTTTAACCGATCATGCTGGGAGACCTGTTCATTGTTTTGCCTTGACATTTGGTCTGACACAATTGGTTATTTCGCCCACGTGAATTCCCGATGTGGAGGATCATGCACCTTCCCTGTTGGACCTTCTGCTGACCTCCTGCTGACCTCTCACCCGGACGGATATCAGATTTCCGTCGACACCCCTTTAGGCTCTACGGACCATTGTCTTGTCCGGAGTGTGGTGCCACTCACGCTGAAATCGCAGTGCATTCTGTAGTTTGCCGCCGAGTTTGGCACTATAGGTCACTCAATGGGGTAGGATGCGGTCTTTCTTTGCATCCTGCTCTTAGGGGGGGGGGGGTTTCTTCTTGCCGGACGATCCCAACATTGTTGCGGATTCTGTCGCCGATGTGGTACTTCAAGGTGTCGAACTTTTTATTCCTTCCTCTGTGGTGCCCATCGGAGGCAAATCTCAGCCATGGCTTGGCCGCTCCTGTAAAATGCTATAAGCAGGAGTGCTACCAAGCCTGGGCTGATACATCGACGTCCCGGGATGTAAACACCAGCGCTCTAAAAAAGAAGTATAATTCCACCTCCAGGTCCTTCAAAAGAGTCAAGCCAAGGCAAAGTCAGAGCACATAGGCAGAATTGGCGAGAAACTAGTTCGCCTTCCTTCTGGAACCCGTGTATTCTGGTCTCTCGCCAAGGCTGTCCAGGGGAATTTCTGTCAGCCATCTCTTCCATCTCTTCACAGGGAGGACGACTCACTGGCCCACACCGTAAAAGAGAAAGCCGTTCTGATAGACTCTTTCTTTGCGTCCAAATCGACTCTCGATGACGGGGAGAGTACGCCGCCGACCATCCCGCGGTGTGAGTGCTCCATGCCGGAGGTGCAGTTCACACAGCACTCGGTTCGCAAAGCACTCCTCTCCCTGGACATCCACAAGTCGAATGGGCCTGACGGAATCCCCCCAATTGTGCTAAGGATGTGTGCTGCAGAGTTGGCACCGGTTTTAATGCCTCTTTTCCGGTACTCCTACTCCCTAGGCGTAGTCCCAAAATCATAGAAGACAGCTTTCGTCCACCCGATCCCTAAAAAAGGCGATCGCTCAGACCCATCCAACTACAGGCCTATCGCCATCACCTTGTTCTCCAAAACAGTGGAGTCCTTTGTAAACTGCCAGCTCATGAGGTACCTTGAAGATCACCAGCTGATTAGTGATCGTCAATACGGTTTTCGTCGCGATCGATCAGCTGGTGATCTTCTGTCTACATAACTCATAGATGGGCGGAGGCAGTAGAGTTAGTAGAGGTAGAGTAGGCTTTGGCCGTTAGTTTGGACATTGCGAAGGCCTTCAATCGGATTTGGCACAAAGCGCTTCTTTCGAAGCTCCCTTCCTATGGGCTTCCCGAGAAATTGTGCAGTTGGATCACCAGCTTTCTTGCAGATCGGAGCATCAAGTTACAGTATTTCATGCCGGCACATCGCCTGCAGCTCTACAAGGCGCAGGTTCGGCCGCACATGGAATACTGTTCCCATCTCCGGGCTGGGGCTCCCCAGTGCCAGCTCCTTCCACTTGACCGCATCCAGTGCAGAGCGGATTGAATCGTCGACGACCGAGTGCTTTCCTATCGGCTCGATTCACTGGCGCTACGAAGAGATGTTGCATCTCTTTGCATTTTCTTTCGCATATACCATGGGGAGTGCTCTGAGGAATTGTTCGGATTAATCCCAGCCCCCAAATTTCGTGAACGCACAACGCGGCAAACGTCCAGATACCATCAACACCATCTGGATGCTTGGCGGTCCACCACTGTACGTTTTAGAAGGAGTTTTCTTCCGCGTACGACCTCTCTGTGGAATAGTTTACCACCGGCGATTTTTCCCAACCGATACGACCTAGGGACCTTCAATAAAAGAGCTTACTCCTTTCTAAAGGGCCGGCAACGCACTTGAAATTCCCCTGATGTTGCGGTTGATCTCGGGCGACAGTAGTCACTTAACATCAGGTGAGCCGCATGCTGGTTTGCCCCCTCTTCTATAAAAAAAATTCTTAGTGGTCAGCCGCCGTAAAGTCTACCTTATTGCTCATAGGTGTAGCTAATTTAACATCTCTTCTATTGTGAGACTGTAGAGGCGAAACACGTGTCGTATTGTCGTCGATGGTGGGTCTTTCCTGGAATAGTGGTGTTGGGAGTGGTGGTGCCGGGAGTAGTGGTGCAGGGATTAGTGGTGCCGGGATTAGTGCACGCAATTGAGGGAGGGCGGGAGGTGCTCTTCAATCCAGGTAAGACACATCATTGTATTTTTATGCGGATAGTTGCGAATTAATTAATGTCTTTAATATTAAGTCCGCAAAGTGACGCCTGATTCTATCAATTAACATAATGGACTGTCAAAATTAATGAAAATGTAACGCTCGCCCCCCCCCCCCCTCTCTCTCTTTCTCTCTCTCTCTCTCTCTTATATATATATATATATATATATTAATGTATGTATGTAATGTATGTATGTGACCAGGATAAATAAAATGTGTTTTGATCTTTCTAAATGATCTTTGTAAAGGTTTAGTAATAGGCCGTTTGTAATATTTTGGCGTGATCATCTTAGTTAGGACCCTTATTTACGTTGTGTTTGTTTAGGAACTCAGTTCTTTTAGGTGTCTTTTGGAAGAATGAATATTCACTAGAGCCATTGAAAGCTGTTGGTAGTGCCTTATAAGCTAAGTGTCAGTCCTGCGCTTGCGCTCAGCTGTGACGCACGCGTCCTTTCCTAGTATAATTATCGGTACGAACGACAAATTGGTCGTGCGTCATAATGTCGGAGATGTTAAAGTGTTCCGTGTGTAATATCGTCATAGACGAACTGTTATGTTATATCCAGAACAAAATATCTGTGATGGATGAAGAATCATTGTTGCGTTTGTGTTCTTCGGCGTTTACCAGTGCAGAGATTCAAAAGTCGAAAGCATTGTTTTTTGATGCTATACCATCGGATAAGCGAAAAATACAACGTAAGAGAGAGGGAAAAGAAAAACGTGACCTGCAGGATATTATTCAGCTTTTTAAAACTACTGAAACTGATCTGATTCCTGTCTTTGTTGCAAGGGAGTTAGAAAAATTACCACCAATTACCTTTGATCATCTTGACTGTACAAAACTACTAAAGGATATTGCAAAATTACGTTTCGATATAGACTGCATAAAGTCGACGTACACTCTGCTTGAACAGCATAAAGAACTTGAAAGTAAAGTATTGGTAATGAAGGATATTCATCCGCCGCGCACGTGTAATGTGAACCCAAGGCTGAGTGCTTGGGGCCTTGATAGTGGACCAATAGGTATGTCTGCTATACATGATTCCACTTTCGTTAGGTCTAAAGAGATGAAGAATACAAATATATCGTCGTCACTAATACGAGACGAAAAATCACCTAGTTGTAGCCCAAGAAAGAAAGTAGAC